CTGAAACTGAAACCAAGACAGGGTCTCCAGACAACGGGTATGATCTTGTAGTCAGAGTAAGGGTTAATGCCAGTCCTCCCATCATATACTAATAAATGTTCTCCAGTAGTAGAATTAAAAGGGAAGTCACTCTAGCAGATGTTTTCAAATTAGCCAAAACCGTGTCACAGAGTAAAGCAGCAGGGCTGGAAACACGCCCAGAGACAGAGAGAGAGAGAGAGAGAGAGAGAGAGAGAGACCTCCCCACAGGCCGCCTGAGGGAGCCATTTCAATGTCTTGAGCCCTCCTGGTGCAGAAGGGGACACAAGAGCTGGGGAGATAACCAGCTCTACCACAAACTCTCCTCTCCTAACTGCTTAACCAGGGCTTCACCAAGCCCCTACTCTGCTGAATACTAAGAAAATGTCGCAGGATTGGACAGTTAATACACTGCCCAACTAACTACACTCTTCATGGCTTGCTTTTGTGTTGCTGCTTATAAATCTCACAAAATGTTGAGAGAAAAATCTAGAAATTGTCAATGACAACAGGTGAGCAAATGATGATAAGTAAATATAAAAATGAACAGTTGGGTTTTGCACAAATTCCAGGAGGAAAGTGGGTTTTGCAACTTCACAGCAGATCCAGAGCATTGATATCTCATTCACAACAATCCCAAGTGGGGCAATCATATCCCAGTTTTACTGGTTCTCAACTACCCAAGAAAAGGTCCAGGAATCTGGGCCAAAGATCTACGGCTGTATGTCCAGAGGGCTTCCTGTGTATGAGTTGGTCTTCTGAAGTGGGATTCACTTACCTTGCAATCCTGAACTCCTACAGGAAGGAGAAAACAAAACAATACACACCAACCTTTAAGTCGATAAAGGAAGAGAATAACTCTAGTTTCTCACCTGTACACCACTTGTCTGGTCCCTGCCATTTATTAGAATAAAGAATGTAAAATTGATGGGTCAACACATCTCATACGCAATACCAACTTCTGGAGGTGGGGTGTGTGTGTGTGTGTGTGTAGCAAATATGCATAAATACTTTAATATGCTTTATGTATTAAATGTATATTTATTATTTTTTTGCATAAACAAAATATGTGTTAAAGGAAAACCAGCCGGTACCTAGTATCTCATACAATGTTATTAGTGGATGTTTAATAAATTAAAGCAAATGCCTGAAGACTAGTTCTAAATCCTGCTCTGTGGTAGAAGAAGGAACAGCATCTCTAGCAATTCCTGATAGACCACACATCTAGAGAACATCACCTTCATTGGGCAGTAACAGGAATCAGACTATAAATTCCCCATGATTTAAAAAAGGTTTGGGGGGGGTAGAGAAAGTCATCTGGGAGCCAGTGAAAAGATCCTTCTCTTTGAAAATGGAGAATTATAAGCCCTCAGGATTTTCTGGGAATAAAAGACAGCACAAGACACAGGGTGCTTTTGAAGCTCCAAGTGTCTCAGTAGCACAAAAATTGGGGGAATGCTAGAAAAGGGCCTTCTTGTGATTGTGTTTCTTTAAAATAAAAATGTATTAAGAGAACAACATCCCACAAAGGTAAGGCAAAGATTGTAAATGTGAAAGGTGAGGGGTGGGGCAAAGTGTTGAGATTTTTGAAAAGTCATTGCAGCCTTTCTGCTTTAATGGCGCTGCTCCTCTAGCAGGAAGAAATAATTACCAACGAAAAAGAGAAAAGAAACAAAAGAACTTACAACTACATTGTTTCCTTAAATTAAGCAAAGAGAGGCAAGTGTGGTTTCTATAGAGATGCAATCTTCATAAAAACCCTCCAGTTCAATGCTTCCTGAGAGGAACAGAAAACTTCTGCAGGGAGGACAGTGGATCTGATAAAGGGCGGAGCAATTTCTGGGAATGATGAAGAAGACACCAGAAGATGAACTGGACTCTATCATACAAACTTCACTATAAAAACACACATTTAGATAGCATTTTACTATTCTTTCTCAACTTAAAATATTTAATGAAATCAAAATCAGAATGCTGATTTTTTTTGTTGTTTCTAGAAGTTGCTATACAAAAAAATATGGTACTTGCCACAATTAAGTTGTAGCTGAAACTATTACTATGCTACATTATCTCTAAATGAGGAGTTAGTAAAAATTCAGTTCCCTTCTTCCCAGTTTTAATTTTAGATTTGAAAAAATAATGAATCTAGATGGCTATATGGAACAAAGGTACACATATCTAATAGAGTTAAATCAAAGTGTATGCAATTTATATTTCCAAGTTTGATTCAATAGGACACTTAAGCTTAGAAGGATTTAGAAAGTAGAACATCACTTAGTTTTAAGCTAGTTCTCTATAGGGGCTACGTAATATTTTAAGAAGGTCTTGCTTTCAATAATTGCTGATATGTTTCATCAAGGTTTTAGTCCCGGCAGAAAAAAAATTTATGTTGAAGGAGAAATGAAAGATACTAACCGATGAAAATTCCCCACAGGGAAAACTCACGTGCATATTATCTCTCAAAAGCTCAACTGCTCATGTGTTATTTGAAGAGTTTTGTCAAAAAATTCCTTCACAACTTTTTTTTTAATTTTATTTATTTATTTATGTGAGAGAGCGAGAATGAGAGAGAGAGAGAGAGCACATGAGAGGGGGAAGGTCAGAGGGAGAAGCAGACTCCCTGCTGAGCAGGGAGCCCGACGTGGGACTCGATCCAGGGACTCCAGGATCATGACCTGAGCTGAAGGCAGTCACTTAACCAACTGAGCCACCCAGGCACCCCCTTCACAACTTTTTAAGGAATCTCTCAATCAGTTCAGTTTGCTAATATTAATATTGCCTATAATATTTGAGATACGATATTTTATTTGGCAAACTAATCTTAGAATAGGAACCTTGATAGAAACATACAGAGAAATAGAGACGGATCTAGCTTTTTTAAATATCCTATATTTGCAAATGTGCTCAAGGCTTTTCTCATTCAAGTAACATTTTCTCTTAAGTGAGTCTGTTTTTTTTTTTTTTAATTTTCAAAAGTAGTTACGGAATTTTAGATCCGAAACTTGGAATATTTCAAAGCAGTGACTTCCCCTGCTGCAACTTTAACCTGAAGTGACAAATCCAAAGGAAATCAAAAACATAGCTACTGACATCAGATTTCTATGAATTTTTCCATTTCCTATTTATGCCAGAATATAGATTTTCTGAACCGAGTAATTTTGATGACCTCAATGGACATTTAAATTTCACATATTTCGCATAGATACATATTCAATGTGTTTTTCTGGCTTTGAATTTCCTTTGTAAAAACTGAAGCAAAGAAAACTTTATCCTTTTGACATTATAGAAATTGGGATACTTATAACATTTCTTGCCTCTATGTCATTTCTGTCCAAGTTGGAAGAACGAGTATTGCTATATATGCAAAATTACATTGGCCAACAGAAAGTTGCTTCCTGAAACTGAAATTCCATTATAAATAACAGTCAAAAGGCAGTTAGCTTCTTCCTGGCAAAAATAATTTGCAAGATGTTTCTGAGTTCGGTCCTAAAATCGCTTTTCTAGTTCTAAACATTCTTCATCCCAGTGTCTGACTACAGTTGTAACTCAGATTGATCCATCACCACTTTACAAAGCCACTGATGAAGACTATAAAAGATAAAGATCTGTTTTTAATTGTTACTTTTATTATGTTTTTCATCCTTGTAATTCCATAACTTTACAGGTTATGCCAAGGGAGACAGGATGCATAGATCTCTCAATGCATCGAACTCAAGCCAGGCTCACTGTGTCAGGAGTGTAAATGTAGTCTTGCCTAAGTCCATAAAAGAAATAACGTCTACCCACCCGCGTCCCTGTCCCGGCCCTCTGGCCACTTCAAACCCCCTCCCCTCCACACGACCACCGGTTTTCAAACAGAAAATTCCGCAGCCCTACTGCCCTGGAGGAAGGCGAGCCCGGGAGCCGCGGGCGGGAGCCGCCCTCGGGCACAGGCACTCAGTGTCTCCGGCGCGGGTCGCCCCTTCCCACGGCCTCCCGGGGGCCACCGGGTGAAGCAGGGACAGCTCGCCTTCCTCGAAGAGGGCAGCAGCCGGAGTGCTGAATGCAGGGTCTTCATCTCCACACGGCCCGCCGAAGGTCCCTCCCGCAGCTGCAGCCGCCCCTCAATGAAAGTGCAATTTGTTATCTCTCCCAGCCCCGAGGAGAAGTCCCTGTTTGGTCTCGGCTCCAGCCCCGCTCATTCAATTCACTGAATACCGCGTCTCAAGGTTGGCCTCGCGATTCGCCGGGAATTGGCCCCCGCCGCGGGCGAGGGACGACTCGACAGTGACCTCCCCCTTGAATCCCATCCTCTGTGTGCGTCTCTCTTTCTGTATCTCGGTCTCCCCCTGCGTGCTTCTGTCTCTCTTTGTGTCTCTGTTTCTCTGGCTTTCTCTCATACGCGCGCGCGCGCACACCCGTGCACACACACACACACACACACACACACACACACACACGGGAGGAGGCTCTCTCCACAACCAAAGCCAAAATATCACCTAAAAAGCAAGTGCAACAACTTGCTTTGCAAACGACCCAGGAGCCTGTCAAGAACTCCCCTGCAGTTGAGCAGCCTCCTCCTCGCCTGCAAGGTGTACCAGGGGTTGGGGGCGGGGGGAGATGTGAATTTGGCCGGTAGAGATGACGGGAACTAGTGTTCTTCTCCCCTCCCCCTTCCAGGACCCTGTCGCAATTAGAAATCTGTCCCCTCCCTGGGCCCCAATGGGGAGCTGCCAGGACCGCAAGCCCGGAGAGGGGCACGCTGGCGCCCGTGTTCCCGGGGTCCCCAGGGGGTCCGGGAGTGCGCCGCAGGCGGCGGATGGCGAAGGAGAAGCGGCCAGGGGAGCCCAGCCCATCGTCCCTCCGCGGGGGAGAGGAGCGGGGACCGAGCGGCGGGCAAGAGACACCCAGCGCGCGGGGATCACGGTGGTGGCGGCGGCCCGGGCTCCGATTGCCGCCGCCGAGCGCGCACGCCCCCACCCAGCAGCGCAGCCCGGCGTTACCTTGCCGCTGCCCGCAGTCCGGCCCTGGATCCCTGCGTCCGTCCGTCGGTCCCACGAGCCTTGGGGGCAGGACAAAAAGGGGTGTCCCCGCGGCCAGGACAGGGTCTCAGCGAGGTGATGGGAAGGACTCGAGAGAGGAGCCGAGGAGGCTGCGACCGCTCCCGCCGATGATGCTACCGACTCTCCGCGGCTGGAGGTGTCGGAGAGGCCGTGTCCTCTGGATTGCGGCGCCTGGAGCGCAGCGCTCGCCTCTGGCACGGAGGCTGAGCGCCGGGACGCGGCGAGCTGGGGAGGCGAGGCTGGGCTGGTCACCCGCCCCTGGGTGCATGTTAATACGGTGGGGAGGAGGAGTCCCGCGCTTCCTCCGCCCAACCACCGGAGCGGGGGGGCGGGCGGCGGCCGCGGCCCGGAGCCAGCCTCTCCCACCCGCCCCAGCTACTACGGCGCGGCCACTAGCCCTGGCCCCAGCCCAGGCACGTGCGTCGAGGCCGCGGGGAGGCGCCCGGCGTCTCCCGGAGCTTGCTCTTGGCCTGCCGGTTCTGCCCGTTCAGGCTTCCGGTGGCAAGTGCACTTACACGCACTCCACACGGACGGAGGGGAAAGCCCCGCATCCCTGGGATGGAATCGAAAGGCGGCCACCCATTAGTGGGCGTGCCCTATCCGTTCCCTGGCGCAGCGTCTCGGGAGAATTGAACCTTCCCTTTTATCTTGCCGGCCGTTGTCCCTAACCTTGTCTGTTTAAGAGAGGGAGTCAGAACTCATTTAACAGTTTTTATCACAGGAGATCAAGTTGGCGGACAGAGGGTTTGCTGTCCTCTCCTCTCCATCCTCGGGGTCCCTACTAGAATTTTTGAAGAAGTAATCGCCAGGGAGGAGACGGGGTAGTGGAAAGAGGCTAGACTCACGAGAACTGACGTGCAAAGCCCGTGCCATTACTTTCAAACATGTATTCTTCGGAACCTCAGTTTCCCCATCTAATACAAAGATGGCTCTTGGGTGGCTGTGTGTATTAGATTACACAAGATTAATTCCATTGGTTTCTCTTGGCACTGGCCTAACGGTAATCACAAAAACCAATCCCTTTTTCTCCCATCCGGCCTCTGACTTCAGTAAACTCCCCACTAACTCCCCCTGCCCCCTACTCGCCCCCAAAGTGTCTTTGGAAGCCAGGTCAGTTCACAGAGGCTGAGGACGGCACCTCTAACGTGCTCTGCAAATGGGAAGAATCCACGTGGCTTCAAAGTAAGAATAGAGATAGTGTGAATAGGTGAACTGAGATGTGGATCAAAGAGAAAAAAGTCAATCAATTAAGTACTAATGTTCTGGATAATAGTTAAAATAATCATAGTTAATCACCGTCTTCCTGTTTTCCTCTACTAAAAAAAAAAAAAAAAAGGCGTCTTCATGGAGAATTTCTTTTGTTCTACAGCTCCCAGAAAGAACATTATGCCAAAGAGTATATAATCTTCTTTATGTAATTTTACCCATAAAGTTATAGCATAAGATTTAGCATCTGCTTTGTGTGATATCTAATTATAAATATTAATAGAATATCCTTTTTAAAGAAACACTTCTAAAAATGCAGAGAAGTGAAAAACGGTTTCCATAAAAAATATGACTCAGATAAATATTCACTTTTCCGCAATTTCACTGAGTGATTTTCCATTAAAGAAAAAAAGTCTTTAAACCACGAAACATCCAAAGAAATGGAGGTAAATCATCAGCATGTAGTATCATGATCACCAATGCTTTAACAAAGCTCTAAAAGATATTCCCCAGGCAGTTCAAGAATGGTTATGCAGAGGTGCTTAATGCTTCAACTACAATTCCATAAAAAGGCAAAGTAAAAAAAATAGCCTTCCTAATCTGGAAAAAGCAACTACGTTGCCTTTCCAGATCTGTAAACATGTTTAATCTGTAGAATTTTAATGAGGTCACCTAAATAAGAATGCCCTAACTCAAATCAGGTGACATTACTGAATAAAATTACTTGAAGCGGAAAATCAATTTTCTTACAAAATTCTTATGGTAGATTGAACCTAGCAATGATAATATCTATGTAACACTACAATTATTAGGGTTTTCTAACTATAAGCGACAGAACCAAATTTGGCTAACTTAGGAGAAAGTAATTCATTGGAAAGATACTGAAAGCTTCCAGAATGGAGGGGAGGGCTGGAAAGCAGTCTGAGAACCGGGCAGGATTTAAGGCAATACAGGAGGTCTAGGAGGCCTGAAAGACAGAAGCAGTCTGGTTTGGGGCTACATGGTCAACATAAGTAAATGCCAGCTGTTTCTTCTGACCTCACGTTACTGGATCAAGATTCAAATCACAGGGTAGAGCATCTGACCCGCGAAGCTTCAGTCAGGCAGTAAGCCCTGGCTGTACCAGGAGAGGGAGAGAAAACATTTGATTCTTTGACTTCCAGAATGGAAGGCAGGTACCTGGATTTATCACCCTTCCATAAGGACACATGACTGGCAAGTGTAAAACAAGTTCAGGGAGCTATTAAGAAGGAGAATTTGATCCTGAGGTAAAAAAAAAAAAAAAGAAAGAAAGAAAGAAAAGATAGAGAAAAAGAAAAAGAAAAGGAAGGAAGGAAGGAAGGAAGGAGGAAAGAAAGAAAGAAAGAAAGAAAGAAAGAAAGAAAGAAAGAAAGAGAAAAAAAGAAAAAATGTTATATTGGCAGGCTATAAAATCACATAATTCTTAGAATTACTTAGATATTGTGCAAGTGATATTGTGCAACTAAAACTGATAGCACTTATTCTGTAGTTACTCTGCATATGCTTCTTTGGAATCAAGGAATGCTATTTAAATTTAAGTATGACCAGTTACCTTATTTATATTTATAGTGCCTAGAAGTACTACGGCAATCCAGGGCTAGCGACTGTGTTCATTTCTAGTCACAGACAATGTGATAGCTAAATAGTAGCCCTGGAGAGATGTCCACATCCTAATCTCTGGAACCAGTAAATGTTATCCTACATGACAATTTGCAGATGTGATTAAGTTAAAGATCTTCAGATGGGAAGGTCATCCTGTATTACCCTGATCGGCGAGATGTAATCACAAGGGTCCTTATGAGGGGGAAACAAGAAAGTCAAAGGCGAAAGAAAAAGATGGGATGATGGGAGCAGAGGTGGTTGACTGCTGCACTTGGAAGATGGATGAAGCCGCCATGAGCAATGGAATATATAGTATCTAGAAGCTAGAAAAGGTAAAGAAATGATTCTCCCCTAGAGCCTCCAGAAAGGATGTCAGTCTGCTAAGATCTCGATTTTAGCCCAGTTAAATTGATTTCAGACTTCTGATCTCCAGAACTGTAAAATAATAAATGCATGTTGCTTTAAGCCACTGAGTTTCTAGTGGTCAGTAAGAGCCGCCACCACAGGGAACAAAGACCGACAGCACCCTCTCTGAAGCATATTGGCGGTAGTAGGCACATGTGAGAGCCCTAACTGTACAAGAAACACAGAAAGGTAGACCTACTTTTGGAGTAGATAACTTAAAGGAGGCTAAGTCAGTGATATGTTGGTAAGAACAGAACATTAGGAACGATGAACAGACAGGGTTACCATTCAGAAGTTTCCATGTCTTTGGTTAAATCAAAATGGGTGTGTTCCTCCTGGACCACAACATGGTCAAACAGGTAACATTCCATTAAAATGAAGTAGAGTTATTAAAGAAAATAAACTGGAAGGGAGACTGAATGGTAAGTGTGCAAGACATACAAGTTTCTTCTGCATTAATAAAGTGTTCTCATTCATTCGCATGGTTTTAAGTAATGCTTAAATGGTGATCTCAGATCTGTATCTTCAGCCTAGACCTCTGGGTTAAGTTTCATATTTGTGAATCCAAAGACATATCCACCTGAAACTTCCACTGGTATCCCAAACTCAATAATTCTAAAGTAAATGTTCTGCCTTTTCCCTTCATTCAAATTTTCTTTCTTTTCCTTTTATACTATATGGGTTCATGGCATTGTGATCCACCAAGGCACCAACGGGAGACACCTGCAAGTCGTGCTGGACTTCTGTGCTCACCCATCACTTCTCAGGCATCACCAAATAATCGTGGCTCCTCTTACCATCTGAATTCACCTTGAATCCTTCCTACATTTCCATTTCTATTACATATCCCCATCAGACTTTTGTCATCTCACCTCTGGGTTATTATCCTCCTAATTTCTTTCCTACACCCCACCCTGCTGTCTTTCCTGCTCTTCATTGTAACAAAAGTGGTCTTTTTTTAAAAAAAAAGATTTTATTTATTTATTTGCCAGAGAGAGACCCAGCGAGAGAGGGAACACAAGCAGGGGGGGTGGGAGAGGGAGAAGCCGGCTCCCACTGAGCAGGGAGCCCGATGCAGGGCTCGATGAGGGGCTTGATCCCAGGACCCTGGGATCATGACCTGAGCTGAAGATAGACGCTTAATGACTGAGCCACCCAGGCACCCCACAAAAATGGTCTTCTAAAAACATAACTCCAACCATGTTACTCCAGTGCTCTACCTACAGTTTAGCTCCTTATAGTTATAAAATTTAGCTTCTTATAATAACAAAGTTCTCCATAAACTTGCTTTTATCTATTTTTTTAACATTTTTTATTATGATAAAATATACATAATGAAAAATTTACCATTTTAATTGTACAATTCAGTGGCAGTAAGTACATTCACATTGTAGTGCAACTGTCAAGACTATCCATCTCCAGAATTCTTACACCACTCAATGAGGTCCTTCTGTTCTCATGGAGCTTAGGGCCTGGCTTGGTGGCACATGGAAACGTTCTGGTTCTCCAAGTGTAAAACCTCTCCAAAAGGACCAAAAGACTGTCCTCTTGGGTCTTTATGAAGGCTTTATTTCTTCAGCCTTTACTCCATGATTTATAATTATGTTTCAGTAAATCAGACTCTGCTTATAATGCCATTCATGTAACACACTCTGGAGTATACCTGTATTTTTCTCATACTATACTCTCCGTCTTGAATGCCCTCTCTCTGCTCTTGCTGGCTAATATTTATTTCTCCTTCAACATTTGCTTAAGTGTTCCTCATGCCTGAATCATTAGGTTGGATTAACTGTTGCCAATGCTCACAGTACCTACTACTCTCTTGGATTTTACCACATTATATTAAAAGTTTTAGGTTATCTGCATTGTATTTTTGAGACTGTAGTTATCCCTATTTGGATCCCCTCACCTAGCATAATACTTGCCTCTCAATAGAAAATCAATACATATTTGTGGGACTGAATTAACCCGAATTGCTTTGAGAATGTTTTGT